TTTGTCGCAGGTGCTCACAATGCATTTACACGCTTCCTGCTGTGCTGCCTAAAATGCTGTTTCTGGTGCCTAGAGCACTTCATCAAGTTTATGAACAGGAATGCTTACATTATGGTGAGTCACTCCACTTTTTCAAGGTACAGGCATTTCATAACTTTATACTATATACATATCTACTATATAACAGCATGCATTTTCAATGTGGATACTAAATTGTTTCATTTGTTTAAATATGAAAAGCAATGTCGAACCTGAGTTGTCGAGACAGAGACTGACAGAAAAGAGGAGTGCATTGACATTTATTGTTCGTTTTTATTCATGTCCTCAGATTTCAATATATGGGAAGAATTTCTGTGCCTCAGCGCGAGACGCTTTCTTCCTGTTAATGAGGAACGTTATGAGGTAAGAGTCTGCACAGCTGCGACATTTATAATGTCATTGTCAAGGTGTGAAGCTGCAAGGACTCTGTCTCTCACACACACACACCTGTTCAAGAATTTGTTCCAGTTATTGTGACATTTCCAGGATGTTTTTAGGATGTTATTGTTTTATTAGGTTTATCACTGTCAAATTTCACTAAGTGTTTCTTCCATTCCATAAAAGAAACACGTTTTGTTGTCTGATGTTTTTCTTCTGTGTTCGACTTGTGAAGCATAATTTTAATAAAAGTCATATGTGGAGATAAACACACCTTTAACTGGCACAACTCATATTTGGACAAATATTATTAACTAATAAATTGCGAATTCTTTAAATAGTCCTTATAATAAAATATCTAGTTTATGTAACCGCTCCAGTACTAAATATGACTATATATAGCATCTATTTATTATTCTGTGTATTTTTCTCTAGAGTTGCTGTTCTAGACAAGGTGACTGACTTCCTGCTGTTCTTGGGGAAACTGCTGATCTCAGGGAGTGTGGGTGAGTCAACCGTTTCATCTGACATACAGACAGGGCAACATTTAATAGAGTCTGGGGGCTTAAACCACACACAGACACCGCATAGACTTGCCTACATACACATAAATTATAAACACAAAAATGATTGATGTCACATTGTTTGCCATCCTGGCTCTTTTTGTTTGCTGATGTTGTGAATATGTATTTGCAGGTGTCCTTGCATTCTTTTTCTTCACCCGCCAAATACCA